TTATTTTTACAATAGTAATTGTGAAATCCGTGTTGTAATCGGCAGCACACAAGCTAGTTAGCTTGAAAAGTAAATAAAGTTTCAGATGTGCTGCGTGATGATTTGTTCAGATTGGCTCAGTAAAACGACAATTAAGTTATCATGATGCGTTCAAGTGTAACGTTAAGAAAAGGGAAATTGAGTTTTTGGCGAGAAACACGAGTAATACAGTTCTATATTGCTCTAATTATTTTAGAATATATAATTAAACTACTGATGCCAACATTTATTAAAAATGACATTTAATTTAAAATACAATTATTTATTTGCTAAATATTGTTGCATCGTCTTTCCACCAAATAACAGAAAAGTATCGATAGTGGTATCGATAAAGACTCGGATCGATAAGGAGTATCGATAAAGGTATCGATATCAATAAATATTAACGATCCCCATCCCTGGTGAGAGGCCAATCGGGGAGAAGAGGTTTGGCTAAAGTCTCTAAAATACGGCGGCGGCTTTTGTTCCTGAACGCTACATCGGATCTCAGGTTTTATCGGGAGAAGTTTTGTCCCTTTTTTGTGCTTTTTTTTACTCAGGCAGAGATCACAGAGAGCAAAACCCGGAGGAACGTCCATGGCTCTGGTTCCAGAACAGGGTCGGGGGGGGTAAAACGGCTCGGGTTTAAGGGGTTAAAACACCGAGGACTCAACGGGGGGGGGGGGGGGGGCTGGGAGAAAGGGGGCTACAATACTAAGGGGTTTAAGGGGGTCTGGAAGATGGGTTGTAGGGGTGGGACGGTTCACAAAATCCACGGTTCGGTTCGATTCACGGTTTCGTCGTCACGGTTTTGGGTTCGGTTCGGTATGTGTTGATTGTTAGGAAAATATATTATGTCTCGTATAGTCAGGTTAAAACTGAAAGAAAAAAGCAGTCTGACGTTTGATACATTATTGTGACAGTCTTAGGTTAAAAGTAGGTGAGATTCTGGCATTGCCAGAGAGGAAACAGTGCTAATTCCAACATGTGCTTCCCTCTAAATGCAAACTGGTCCATACAGCAGACCTAGAAACTGCTTTTTTATCGGCTACGCTGTTTCGTTTCTTCTTCTTGTTTCCTACTGGTGGTTAGCTTTGGGTGCAGTAGCGCCCCCTTCTGGTCTGGAGTGAAAACGCTTCCCTCTGAGAAAAAGGAGCAGCAGGAACCGAACACAACACACGCGAACCGAACCGAAACAGTCCAACCGAACGGTTCGGACGGTTTTCAGAAACCGTCCCATCCCTAATGGGTTGTTGTAGTTAAGATGATCACAGTCACGGTTTACAGTGGTGAGAGATTTTTGAGAGAGTTATGGGTGAGAGGACGAGGCTAGGATGAGTCTTATGGGGCGTGTGGTGTTAGGATATGACCGTGGCCTCCGTTACTATGGCTGGGTCCTCTATGTCGGCTTTACTCTGAACCATCCTCAGCTCCAGCTGGGGGGGGCTGGGCCTTCGACCAGGACCCGCCAGCTCTGAGAGAGAGAGAGAGAGAGAGAGAGAGAGAGAGAGAGAGAGAGAGAGAGAGAGAGAGAGAGAGAGAGAGAGAGAGAGAGATGGACAGGGAGAAGAATGAATGGGAGAACAAATAACATTTAGTTTAGACACAAATCTGAAGGAGCAGAGGCAGGAAACTGGATGGGACCCAGAGGTGTGTTTCTGTGTGGACGACTGTGGTTTGCTGGGTTTTTAGCACTTTGAGAAGGTAGTGTTTTCCTTAGGGTTGTCACGATACTGAAATGTTCAACTCGATACCGATACTCAGGAAAATATTCGATACCACAAGTATAAAAACAAAGACCCCAAAATTTAACTGAATTTTGACAGGTTAGTGTCTTTGGTTTCAAACTGACCTGTTACTGATGTTATGATGGCCCCATTAATGACCTTAACCCTAACCCTAACCCTGACCCTAACCCTAATCCCTCCTGCCTTCAAAATTGTGAGAAATAAATATTTTTTGGTTAAACTTGTTTGGACTTATTGTACAAACCTATTTAACATCCACTATTTTAACATAATATTATGCATAGAGTTTAACTCAGTGTTTGCAAGATTAATTTCACTATTCTTAAATTAATGTCTATATAGCCATGAAGCAATTAGGATTTTCTTGCCTGGGATCTTCCTATTGGTGACCTAATCAAAATGGCCGACTTGGATGTGGGGGGGTTGGATATCCATCCTTGGCTTCCTGCAGACTTGATTAATGTTGGCGTGTTATTATTAGCCATTAGCCGCAGCTAGCAATTCAAGGCTAACGTCACATTAATGATCCTAAACAACGTAAATAAATAAATAAATAAATCAGACAGAAAGGGTGGTGGTATCAATACTTTTGAAAATGAGTATCGTATCCGGATACAACGTTTTAGTATCGATACTTTTTATAACCCTAGTTTTCCTCACCGTGAGCATAAGATATGGTCCTCTGGATGACGTGGTGCATCACAGAGAAGGTTTTCTCACAGGCCGTCTGGGCGGGACAGAAGAGGGGAAACAGGGTCACTGATCTGCTCTAAACCTGCACACGCGTGTGTGTCTGTACACGCGTGTGCGTTTCTACACGCGTGTGTGTTTCTACACGCGTGTGTGCACCTTCAGGTCGTTGGGGTGGTGGTGCGTCCAGGCGAGCAGCATAGCAGCAAACAGGTCTCCGGTTCCCACAAACACGGCGTCCACTTTGGGGACTTCTATCCGGACCCTCTGAGTCACCCTGGTGCCGTCGGGACGCACTGAGCAGCAGAAAACACACGATATTTAAAAGGCTTTCACTGGTTTGTTTTCAAACGGTGGCGCTAGGGACGTCCAGATCCAGCTTTTTTAACTTCAGATCCGATACCGGCCTATCAGAGCATGTATTAAAGTTTAAAGATATTTATCTACTTACTTAGAGGACTGTCTCAGAAAATTAGAATATTGTGATAAAGTTCTTTATATTTTGAGATAGGATTTTTGAGTTTTCTTCAGCTGTACGCCATAATCAGCGATATAAAAATGATAAAAGGCTTGCGATATTTCAGTTGATTTGTAATGAATCCAGAATGTATGACATTTCATGTTTTTTAATTGCATTACAGAAAATAAAGAACTTTATCACAATGTTCTAATTTTCTGAGACAGTCCTGTATTCTTATAACAACTTAATGGTTAGGACACAGACCTGTGGGTTAGGAGATGCTAATGCTAATGTAGCATCAGTGAACAGTAACAAGTGCAAATAATATTGTAAACTGTATAAGAAAGGCAAAACACACAAACCACCTGAATAGAAAATATTCTATTAACTCTGTTTTACATCCAGCTCTACGTCTTTTTCGTCCTTAAGGATAAAAAAATCCCACACAACTGACATTTTTACAGATAGCTTCAAATTTAATGGTCTTAATGGTTAGGACACAGACCTGTGGGTCAGGAGATGCTAATGCTAATGTGGGATCAGACTCAAAACTGGATCTGCATTTTCTCAGGACAAGCCTAATATATATATATATATTTATGTTTATATTGTTAAGCCGCTCATCATCCTATATTTAAGGGAACACTCCTTAGCTGAAATCCCCCCCCATTCTGCTTTAGAAACTCCTGTTAACACCCTTACCCTATTTTTGTGTTCAGTAAATTTGGTAAAAGTGATTGTGGGTTAGAGATGCTAGTGCTAATTCTGGTGTGGGATTGGACATTTTTCACTTCAGATCCGATACCGATCCCGGCTTATCAGAGCATGTACTAAAGTTTAAAGTTATTTATCTACTTACTTAGTTGTCAGACTCATGTTGAACAGGGATTTACTCTGATAACTTAATGGTTAGGACACAGGCCTGTGGGTTAAAAGATGCTAATGCTAATGCTCATGTGGGATCGGACTTTTTATAAAAACTGGATCTGGAGTCTGGATCTGCATTTTCTCCTGCCAGCCGATACGCGTTTTTTTGCGAATATCAGCGGCCGATCGGATCCAGATATCGGATGGGGACCATCCTAGTTGGCACCCACCGTAGCGCTGGCTGCCCAGCGACACCAGGAAGCGGTCTCCGAGTCTGGGGGGAAGATCAGAGGAGGTGATGACCACCGTGTCTGGTCCCATGGCGTGCAGGAGGTCCATGACCTGGAACACAGCCACACAGAGAAGACATGAGAAGGGAAAGTCCAACAATATCCAACTGGATTCCCCCCTAGAGTGCCCAAAACTGCTGTAAATATATCACAAAGTCATCTCTCTCTGCACCTTAAAGGACTCAGACTTTTAAAACAACTTCAGCCTGAAGTTTATTCCAGGTCAGAGATTTTATCCCTTTAAAAGAAATAAAAAAGTGTTTCTGTAGCTTCAGGTTAATGAAAGATAATTCCAGTAAATTACAATCCAGTGAGTATTTGAGAAGTTTTTAAAGACCCTCAGAGGATTGAAGCATTGATTTACTTCAGCTTTTCCAGCAGAAACTGTAAAAAGTTCAGCGTTTCTTGCACGGTGGCGCCCTCTGGTGGACAAACATGGAAATTAAATCAAAATAAAATCTGGACATAAAGGAATCCACTGGCTAATGTATAGATTGTTTTTTAGAGGAGATGTGTCAATTTCTGTGTTGCCTTTTGATTTTAGGCTGGTTTAAGGAGCTCAAACCACAGTTTTAAATATCTGGAAAATTTGAATATCTGGAAATTTTTAATTTGATTAATTAAGCTCAGCCAAACAGAACAAGAACTAACGTCCATGTGACTTAACGAGGGTTAAATTATGTAATTAACCAAACCAACTTCTTGATTGGTTCCTTTTGCATGTTGGCTTACTTTGAGTAATGAGGGAAGCCACACAAACACACATCTGTCATTTTCTGTGAAACAAGAGAGTAAAAAGGAGGCCAGAAAAGAGAGGATTACCTCCACGGCGTCTTTCTCTGATGTGATGTTTTTCCCCGTCAACAACCTGAAATATAAGCACACGAATGGCATCATCGTCATCTCTCAGAGGTCAAAGGTCATGACGGCAATGTTAGAAGAAGGCTGAACAGGTATTGTTGTGGTTCGGGCTTCAGGAGAAAGCTTCTCTGAAAAAAAAAGCTTGGGTTTTCAAAGCTTTTGTTATATTATTGTATTATTCAAAACAAATGTTCTGGAAGTCCCTATATAGGCACTTATCGATCAAAAACAACATCTCTATAGTCAGAGGTACTGACATTACTCCTCTGAATTTCAGAACTTCAGTACTTGTACAGACTAGGCTTGTCCCGATCTGCCGATATTTGCAAAAAACTGAGTATCGATCCAGATCCATACTCCAGATCCAGCTTTTTTTTTCTAAAGTCCGATCCCACACGAGCATTAGCATTTCCTAACCCACAGGTCTGTGTCCTAACCATTAAGTTGTTATCAGAGTAAATCCCTGTTGAACATGAGTCTGACAACTAAGTAAGTAGATAAATAACTTTAAACTTTAACACATGTTCTGATAGGCCGGGATCAGTATATTGGAAGTGCAAAAAGCTGGATCCAGACATCCCTAACTGACACTTTTACCTTTTTCCCCATCAGCTGAATGGCCGATTTTGGAAACTGGGCTAATCATTCTGGATAATAATAATGCATCTTAACCCAGACCCAGTAGTCTACAACTAAGTAAGTAGATAAATAGCTTCAAACTTTAATACATGCTCTGATAGGCCGGGATCGGAAGTGAAAAAAGCTGGATCATGACCTTCCTAGTACAGACATCTGATGGCTTATTTAAGTCGGTGTCCTTCCATCTGATAGCCTAGAAAAATAACTCTACCAGTCTTTAGTCGGAACAGTAGATTGGAGTGATTTAAAAGTCATGCAGGTATGGGATGAGAGCGTATTTTTGGGACCACGAAATGGAGGTGTTAGATAACAGCACGAGTGGCATTACGTAAAGACGGTTCATGCTACCTGCTTCTCACACAGAAACAAAAGGAACCTGTCAGGAATCTGCCCACTCCAAAAGAAAACCACCATAAGCCCTTTGTGATTGAAGCGATTAAGGGTAAAACACTCACTCGGCCTCAAACTGGTTGGGAGTGATAATGTCGGCAACGGGAACCACCTTGTTTTTGTAGACCGGATAAAGATTCTGAGGGACATACTGCAGAGGGAGATAAACGCATTAGAGTGTTAAAACAAACTGACACCTCGTTTCTTTTATTCCCTTTGTTTTCTTACCTTTAAGCTCAAATAACTGACAGAAAATTAGCTTAATCCCCCAAAATAGTGAGTCATAACGGTGAGTCAGTGTGTGCATGTGGCTCTAAAATATAACTAAAATCCATCGGTTTGACAAAAGAGCCTTAAATCCCTCTCCAAAAAAATAGCAGCGTAACAAATTACACCTGCATGCAGCAGAAATAAAAGAAAAAGCGGACAAATCTCACCATAGATCCGTGATCGCCCAGAACGGGGTCGCACACTGGAAAGAGAAAGGCAGACATGGTCAG